CTCCCCCAAAAGAAGCCTTTGGTGAATCTTGGAAAAGGAGATCATGATTTTCACAGTGGGAAGAATCAAACCTTGCTTGACCTGGCTTATAAATTTTGAGAATTTTGAATGTCAGATTTTCTTAAAGCGGGATTCAGGCCATATGGCACAGATAGGATAATCTTGGGAATGGATAGATGCTGTGTACCGCGAACCCCAGGGAGGTTTTAGCAAACATTTCAGCTTTTATGTGCTAGACCAAATTGAATGCCACTGGCTTAATTAGTATATTGAATGTGATAGGTGTGGTGACTTTCCTTCTCTTTGCTCCTCAAATGTCTGTCCGTTACAGGACATTATCCTCTGTCTGATTTGGAGCAGATAGGAACATTCAGTACAGTGTGGAAGACAGCAGGGCGGAGAGCCGACCAGAGGACATTTTGCTCATCTGATTCTCTGAACCCAAGATAGAGGAAAGAAACTTTGCATTTGAATCCTGTTTTTTTATAATTTACTTCAATAATATTTCCTTCCAGTATGTGTTGTTATTTGTAATTTGAACCATTAAAGCTAAGTGAATTTAGGACTCAGAAATTGGGACTTCTTTCAAAGCAGATTCTGTAAAGAATGAGCCTATTGGATGCAAAGCGTTGTTGAGCTTATTGTGTGAAATTATGGGGACATTGTTTCATCATTTTATGGTGAAGCCAGATACCCAGGTAACTCCTTTAGAAACCCGGAGGAGTGAAACGTCGGAGCTCGAGGAGAAGATGCAGCGCGTGTTCTGTCGAGAGGGAAGTGAGGTGTTTGTAAGCTCACACAGCCCTCGTTACTGGCAGAGGCCGGTCGCACACCTTCAAAGAGGATGCTGGTTACAGAGCTTGTCCGTCTGCCCTGGAGCCTTTACGGTGACCTTATCTTCTAACCCTTGGCACTTTTGCTGGTTTAATATTACCAGAACAATATACTTTATTTTTTTTTTAAGATTTTATTTATTTAGGGGCGCCTGGGTGGCTCAGTGGGTTAAGCCTCTGCCTTCGGCTCAGGTCATGATCTCAGGGTCCTGGGATTGAGCCCCGCATCAGGCTCCCTGCTCAGTGGGGAGTCTTCTTCCCCCTTCTCTCTGCCTGCCTGCCTGCCTCTCCGCCTACTTGTGATCTCTCTTTCTGTCAAATAAGTAAATAAAATCTAAAAAAAAAAAAAAAAAGAAAAAGAAAAAGATTTTATTTATTTATTTGAGAGAGAGAAAGCGAGAGCGAGCATGAGCAGGGGCGGGCGTAAGGGGGAGAGGGAGAGGAAGAAGCAGACTTGAGCAGCAGATGCTTAACTGACTGAGCCACCCAGGTGCCCCAACAGTGTTACTTTAAAGAAAATAGCCAAATCAAAGTTTTCCAAATTCTAAGAGGTGTTTTGCAGCTCATTATGAGTTGTTGAGATGTTCCAGGTATAGAGGTAATTAGTAGACATAATTGATTAGAAAGGGCTACAAGTTGAGAACTGACCTAAAAGTCCTAGGTCAATCATAGAAAATGGGAAGTTGACAGTAATAGCAAAATTGCAGCTGAGAGCAATGCTCTCTAAATCCAAAGAACATTGAAGTCGCTATTAGCACGGAATGGCAGTTTACCAGTAAATAATGCTCGCCACACCAACATTCCCATTCCCCACCCCTGTGTGAGGTGGAAGTTAAAAGAATAGATTGTTTTCCTTCTCACCCTCTTTCATTTTATTCTTGTCTAGTCAGTGGAGAAATGATCTTGGATAGAAAAATCGCATTAGAACTTTGATAAGTTGCTTTTTGAAATAGACTTGTTTCCATGCCACAGACATTTGGAACAAAGTATGTTTATTGAAATATATTTTTATAGAAAATATTACAGAACCTGTAATTGAAAACTTATGGCAGCATTTTGGGGAGTGATATGTTCTTAATGTTAATTTGTGGATTTGCTCTGAACTCCCTTCTGCTGTTTTAGAACCATCGGCTGAGTGAACGTTTTCCAAGTCTTTTCAGATCAAAACTGTGTTTCATGGAATAGAGTATTTGGTGCTTAAGTAATATATAAATCCAGTTGGACAGGATCTGCCTGTCAGTTTTATTAACTTTGACCTTTTCTCCCATTATAAAGATGGTTCGGTAAATATTTAATGGGCCCCTTATAGATCTTGACAGTCGGAGCTGTGTTCCTGGAAACTGGGATACGGATACGTATACATGATGTCGCTTAATCACCGTGAGTCAGTGTCGAAGGGCAGGTTTTATTTTTCTGGAAAGAGGAGCCCGTCCCTCTCGGTGTGCTCTTAGAGGTGCAGTGTCTGTTGAAGGCGCCCAAGATGGCAGGCATTTTAAAGGCACCCTTTAAAAGATAGCAGCTAGCATGCATTTCTGCTCTTTTGGGTTTTTTTTGTTTAAGCAAATGATCAAAATGATGCCAGGTGGGCAAAATCACCCTGCCACTGTGCACAGTTAGCAGGACTCTTCCACTCAAAGAGTCAGCAGGGCCGGAATGGCTGAGCTTGCATGGACCCTAATAAGATACAAAGAAGAAGGAGAGCCAAAAGGAGAGACAATTCCTTGAGCCAGGAGGGGACCCCTGCCAAGCTGTCTTTCCCTTTAATTCCATAAAGCCCCATGCATATTGCACTCATTGCAAATTCTGGTGGGGAAGATCGAAACCCAAGTAGCTGACATTTTGAAACATTGTCTTTCAAACTTGTACTGTCCCTTGCTTCCATTGATTTCCCATTTAAGAAATCTGTAGGAGAAAAACAAATTTGAGCAAAATTCATTGGTCTAAGATGAGTTGTTAGAGCCGAATTATGCCCCCCCTTCCACCCTGAGAAGAGCTCCATTTTTATTATGAATGTGATACATCTTTGTCTTGTATTGTGCAGCTGTAAGGCTCCCCCAGCAGATCGACCAAGTAAATCAAGAGCCTGTTAAAAAGCAATATGGATGCTCCAAACACAGACATTTCAGCCTTACTGGGTCACTGGATATCTTCATTTTTATGACCACTTTCAAGAAGCAGATCATTTCATTGCGTTCTGTTTTCTTGCTCTCTCTCTGTTTGTTTGCAGCCCACCGGCTTTAGGTAGGCCATCTGTTTTTCAGAGCATCATTACCCTTTGCATGCAGGGCCCAGCCCCTTTAATATGGTGGTCACCAGTTTCATTACCATGAACTGTAATGTAGCTGACTCTGCAAAGGAAATCTATGCCTTGAAAGAACATTTTGAAAAGAAATTGATTCAGAGCTTCAGAGTGAATTACTATTTGTATGTTTAGTTAATTCTAAATAAATGTTTGAAGGACCTTGCTTAATTTGAGAAGGGAAGAAGAAACATATTGGATGTTATAAATGGTCTCAATCCAGACTCTTAGCTTGGCATTTTCACATTTGAATGTTTTATTTACATCTGTTCACAATTGGGATACCTTTCAAGGATGATTATCGAGAGATTGATGGCAACTCTTAAGATCTAGAATACCGAAGTATGGGATTAAAAAAGGAAGATAGTGGTCACTGCCACATGTCAGATTGGATGTCAGCGCCTCACTTGGCAAAGAGTGAGACTGATGAGTTGTATTTTAAAACAAAAGATCCTGATGGTAGGAGATGGGGGTGGGGAGGGGAGGGAGACTGACTGCATTGGGGCCCTGGGGAACTTTCTTCAGGGATGGACATTCTCCATACCTTGATTGGGGTGTATAGACAGGTATAGACATTATCCTAACTCATCAAACTGTACTCTTAAATGTGTGCATTTTATGTAAATTTTAATTCAGTAAGGTGGATTTTTTTTTTTTTTTTTGAAGTCCTGTTGGGTTTAGAATTAGGCAGTGTCACTTCTCTTTTCCAAAAGTGAAATGGAGGTCTAGAGAGGTAAAATGATGTGTCCTGAGTAACTTCAAAGCTCAGTGGTTTGTCCAGAACACAGCCAAGGATGTGGGGCCTGGAGCTCACTGAAAGTATTTTGCATCCTTACTGGCACTGTATTGTTCCACTTACCTGTACACAGAGTGAGAGGAACTCCTCCGTCCTGTATCCGTTTGTATGCTTTTTGTTGTAAGATACACTAGGAGCTTATCCTTACCGCTGATACTGTATCTTCAGCATTGAAGACAGCAGACAGCGGATGTTGGGGCTGGCCACGGTGTCTCCTGTATGTTTATGATAGGCCGGGTTGTGCTCCCAGTTAATGCAGAACACTCCCAGTTACGTGGTTTTTATTATAAGCAAGAGTTCCCAGAACCAATTCGTCTTTAAGAAGTCCCTGTGGATCTTCTTAGAAAAAATGACATGGGCTTTGAAAAACCATTTCTATAAAGCATATATGAAATAGTAGTGAAAAATAAAGAAGAAAAATTATTCAAGCTCTGCTACTTAGGAATGTGCTGTTAATGTTTTTTTCTTTCTTTTTTTAAAGATTTTATTCTATTTATTAGAGAGACAGTGCAAGTGGGGGGAGGGGCAGAGAGAGGGAGAGAGAATCCCAAGCCGACTTCCCACTGAGTGCAGAGCTGACGTGGGGGCACGGGGGCTTGATCTCACGACCCTGAGATCACGACCTGAGTTGGAACCAAGAATCCGATACTTAACTCACTGGGCCACCCAGGCGCCCCTATTACGTTTAACATTTGAGAGACTGTCTTTTTTAAGCATTCCTCTGTTTACAGTGTACCTGTTTTTGGTTTTTATTCCACAAAATGATGTCATAACTTTCTTTCCATATCTTAACCAAGCTCCCAGTTATTGCTATTGCTGGGTGCTCCGGAGTTCCCCGCTTCTTCACCGTTCTGTAATGCTGTGACGAACGCCATGTCCGCTCTTCTCTTCCCGTTCGTCTCAGTAGCTCCTCACAAATACATTCCTCGGAGCACATGTTGGCCGCTGCATTCGCCGTGATTTAAGACGTTCTCAGGGGGTAAGGCACATCGCGTGGTGGTGGTTTCCTACCCCTCGGCCTGCGTTTACCAAACGGTGTCTTTCTTCCCCTTCTGTTCTGTTCACCACGCAGTTGCAGTACCACGCGGGTCTGGCGTCCGGCCTCTTGAACCAGCAGTCCTTGAAGCGCTCGGCTAACCAGATGGGAGTGTCCGCCAAGCGGAGGCCGAAGGCTCAGCCCACTACTCTTGTCTTACCGCCTCAGTGAGTAATGGGTTTGCAACAGTTCTTTCATCCTGGGTGGGCTCTTCTCCGTGCTTGTTTGTGGGGAGTGGAAGGTTGTTTCTTGTGAAATGGCTCTTCCTTTTGCCAGGGTGCCTGCTAGGATTAGAAACCCAGCGCGCAGGTAAGATCATTTGCATAGATCTTACGTGAAGCGGTGATCGTGTGATTCCTAAGTGACATGTTTGGTGTGACTTTCCCACCTAGGATTTCAAGATATCTCATAGCCTTTTCTTTATTTCCTTGTCACGCTCCCAGAGCTGGCACAGCCTAAGTGCGGTTGTCCTTATCGAACCGATGACACAGCTCAGGGGCACGTTTTGAGAAGCTGCGGGCCACTCAGAGAATCCGGGGGAGCTGGGATTCGAGTCGTGCTAGGCTCACTTGTTCTCTTAAATGTGCAAAATATGAGCCCTTCTTTATCCTAGTAGGAGAGATAGGAGGCACTGTAAGGTTCAGAAACGTCCAACTCAGTGATGGTTTTCACACGTGCGTACCTCTGTGGAGCTCAACCCAGATGAGGCCATGTGGCCACGGCTTCCAGAATCCCGTGAGGGGTCCCCCCCATGTTCCCAGTCTGTGCACGTGCCGCCCCCCTACCTGGGTTTAGCACTGTTCCACCTTCTTCGAACGGTTGATTTTTAACCTGTTCTTGAACTTCACGTCACTGGAGCCGCACAGTACGTAATCTTCTGTTTCCAGCTCTTTTTCGCTCAGCATAATGTCTGCTAGACTCATCTAGATTGTCTGTTCTTTTTCGTTGCTGGGTAGTGTTCTCGGGACTATGCCGCAAGTGACTCATCCGTGACCTGTGGGGCTACTTCGTGCTAGAAGCCCTAGCACGCAAAGGCCAAGGCTCACTTTGTGGGAATCAGCAATGCGAACACACCAGTCTTTGCTGATAGCTTCTCTGTGAGCGTGCACACTCCCCGGAGCGAGGCACACTCCCAGCGGCTGGCCTGGGCCTTTAGACACATTCCCTGTCCTGTCCTGCCCTCCCGTTGTACCCCGTTTCGGTTCCATCCTCAGTCACAAACTACAGTTGGCACCTCGAGCAATGCAGGGGTCACGGGCACAGTCAAAGATCTTGTGTAACTTTTGGTTCCCCCCAGACTTAACTACTAATAGCCTGAGAGTGACCGGAAGCCTACAAGTAACATCAACAGTCGATTAACATGTATTGTGTGTATTAAACGTGTCATGTTCTTACAATAGCATAAGCTGGAAAGAAGAAAATGTTACTAGGAAAATTATAAGGAAGAGAAAATACATTTATAGTGCTGTATCGACAAAATATCACAGATAATGTGGATCCTTGCACTTCCAACCCATGTCATTCAGGGATCAGCTGTACATTTAAAAATTTCCATCCAGAGGAGTGTTTTCGGTGAGACTCCGTTGTTTGCCTTTATACAAGATCTCACTTACTTTCCATTTGATGAGCAAATATTGTACCTCCTATCTGTAGGCACTGTCCTAGACTGTGGGGTTACAGTCATGAACAACACAGATGTGGTCCCGTGTTCCCGTGTTCCCGAAGCTTTTGTTTGCAGGGGGAAAGAGACAAAGAAAAAAAAAGGCACTCCTCAACAAATTAATAAATTAATATAATAATTTCTAGTTACGATAAATTAACAAATTAATATAATAATTTCTGGTTATGATGGGTGCTTAGAAAGGAACACATAGTGTAGTAAAGGTTGAGGTTGAGGAAAGTGCTTAGATTGGGTGGTCAAAGAAGGCCTCTCCAAGGAGATGACGTGAGGTGGAGAGAGGCCAGCAGAGAGCTGGGAAGTCACAGAGGATGCTGCGGGATCTTTTCCCTCATCGCTGGACACTCGCACCACCATTTCTATGATTTTCAGGTTTTCTTCATAATTAACATTTGCTTCCAGGAGAAGATGAACATAACCAACCAGCTTCTGAAAAGTGATTTTCTGCTACTGCATGGCCAGGTGCGCGTTTTTCAGACACTGAGTGACGCAGAGCGAGAGTTTTCACTGTTTGGTAGGCGCTTCTGAAGGAACGTGATCTGTGGTTCCTCATATGTTGACTGGGTGATTCTGCGAACCTTCAACTTTCAGCTCTCTAAAGTCTAATGGGCGTTGTAACTTGTCATTTTCCCTGCATGGATAGTCTATGGAGGCGAGACGTTTGACGAGAAGCGAAAGACTTTCTAATAGTCCCATAAGACTGGAGCCAGAAAGTGTTTGTTGCTAACTCTCTCTTGACAAAAGTCAGCCCGTGGTCCATCTGTTCGCCATTTGTTCATTTGCATTGGCTTGAAACCTGTTTACAGGTGACATGCTATTATGAGGACACTTAGAAACTATTTTAAGCACCAAGGCAATCAACAGACTCTGTTCTCATGCCAAAAAAAAAAAAAAAAGGAGGTGTTCACAACTGTCATTATAAATTTATAATAAATCACTCAAAATACTTAGTTTCAAAGAGAAAAGTTGTTGCCGTGTCCTAAGAATACAACGTCGGAATGATTTCCTATACTCAGTAGCCTGTTTCCTGTGAAAATTGACTGCTGCCTTTTCACATCATTGAGCTTTTGGGGTTCACGCTCCCTTCAGAGACCTGTCCAGTAGGCAGGGTATATAGCTAAAGGACATTCAGTGCACCTTTCTTGAGCACCTACTACATGCTTCTTACTGTGTTAGAGTCAGAAATAGAAATACCAATAAGACATAGTGCTGGACTAATTGAATTATAAAAAATTTTTAAATTAAAACATAGGCCACTAGTAATATATACATATTGTAGACCTTGAACCAAGCAAAGATGACACGAAAGGAAAACATAATAATACATCACACAGAGAAAGTTACTGCTCAGGGTTTGATGGATATAATTCTCAATTTTTTCTATGCAAATATAATGTTTAAAAATAAGAAACATCCTCCAAAAAGGATGGTATTGTAATGTTCTGTATCACATCTCAACATTTCTTGAATATAGTTGTTAGACTTGAAGATAGTGTAATTTTATCTGCGGAACATTTAAATTTGCATATTAATCAGCCATGTTCTGGTTGTATTCTGAAGAACACTGCTAATTACAAAATTTTTATTACAAGCACGACATGACGATAAACTAACTCTGTCATTAAGGAAATCCCTTATAAAACAACACCCAAACCCTGCGTATCAGTCACCTACTGCCACATAGCAGATCACCCCCAAGCATGGTCGTTTGACAGCAGTAAACACCTATCACATATTTTGTGGCTCAGGAATCTGAGAGTGGCATGGCTGGGTGGTTCTGGCTCAGCCTCTCGGAAGATTGCAATCAGATCTCAGCCGGAAATGCAATCATCTCAAGGTTGGACTGGGGTTTGAAGGTCTCGCCCAGGGCGGCTTGGTCATACAGCAGGCAAGTTGGTGCTGGCTGTTGACAAGAGACCTCCATCCCTCTCCACAGGAGACTTGAGTACCCCCATGACTTGCAGGTGACTTCTCCCAGAGCAGGGAGCCCAGCAGAGCCAATCCTTTTTCGGACCTAGTCTCCAAAGACACAGCATCCATTCCACCCCATTCTGGTGGTTAGAAATGAGTCACTAAGTCTGATGTTTAAGGGGAGGGGATGAGGCTCTCCCTTTTGAAGGAAGGATTGCCAAAGAATTTGTGGTTGTCGTTTAAAACCACTGCAATTGCCAGTGAGGAGAGTCATTGCACAGAGGGAAGAATGGTGGAGCCTGTAAGCCCCATTCACTTATTTATTCAGCAAATGTGTACTCAGGGCCTACAAGTGTTTGGTCCTGTGTACTGTGCTGGGAATTTGGAGATGAATACGACACAATTTTGGCTTTCACAAAGGTCTGAGCAGAAGCAGAGGAACAAACAAGTAGCAGGGAATCCTAGTAATGTGTGCCAAGCCCTAATGACATCCCAAAGTGCTCAAGAAGGCCACGGGCAGGGTGCTGAGAGAGCCACATGTAGGGAGGCCTAGCCAAACGTTGGTGAATTTCTCCACTGACGGGTGAAGGATGGAAGCTTGACTTCATCAGGAGAGCTCGATGCTTCTTGCATAGGCTCACAGGATTCTAAGGAAAGGTTTTATTTCTCCTTGGAGGAAGCCACCGGAGGACCAGCGCTGGACTCCATACTCACCCTCCTCTGGAACTCTGGTGATGCGGTGACGGATGGGTTTCTGCATTACCTTGTGTCAGCATTTGGATGGCAGGGAGGCTACCACAACAAAACCACGGGCTCTAAGTGTGCTGAGACCACAGGCACGGCGAGGGGGCAAGAGAGGTGTACAGTGTGTTTGTTTTTTAAATGCAGTTGGCTTGAACAGTAGTAGTCTTTGAAGACGCTGATTCTGCCAGAGTTCCCATAGGATTAGTGATTCATGGGATTAATGATTCATATCTTTCTCCTCCTCCAAGGAAGCTTCTAAGAAGGCAAAGATGCTCTTCGTGATGAAAGATCTTTTACCATATGTCGGCATTCAGAGGGCACTGACGAAGCCACCTCACTTCTCTGATTCCCCCCGAGTGTTGAATCCATCGTGGAAAAGGCCCTGTCATTTTCAGAAAGGAGCTGTGTCCCCTGTTGCTGGGTAAACGTTGTCAGGCTTTTGACCCTTGTAGGAATGAGGTCAGCTGACGGTTGCGATATCTGTGTGTTTTTTCTACATGTCAGATGCGGCCATGTTTGCTTGTGCTCCCTTAGATAGCTGTCTCAACTGCGCGACCCATTGTTCAGCGCGCTTTCGTGTTAACACGGATACGGTGTTGATCAACATTGTCAAGCCAAGTGGCCTGGGACCCTGGTGGCGACCTGATGAAGTGCCGACTGTCGGTGGGTGTGGGACGAGCGGATACTTACGCATTTGTACTTGGCACACGTAGATCTCATTTAGATTCAAGGGGAAACATTGTTCTACAGAAAGGTTATCTTTCAAAGTATTACCGTCCCCTGGAAGTTGTGGAGACGGGCGGTTTCTTTTGTGTCATGTTATCCTTCCTGAAA